CCAGCTCCACCCTCCACCAGGATAACCCTTCTCATCTACCAAGTCCCTTCAGAAAATATCTTCCATTGTCATTGTCCAACCCATGATCTGACAAGTGTATCTTAAGCTTTCTTGGCTTCTGTGATTCCAAAAACGTCAACTGCTGACATTTTCCTTTTGACCAGTGTCTCTTGAGTTTAGCTGAGCTGTCTCCAAGGTAAGGTGTCATGTCCTGTAGAACTATAAAATATAAAACAATATTTTCACACACACACAAAGCTGATGTATGATATAATTACCTGCTCTTGCTAGCAATGTGCGAGCAGCTAAATCAAACTTGTGCCTCCTTGTTACTGCTGAGCGACCTCTAGCTGGTGGTCCACTTCCAGAAGCTGCATTTTCTGTCTGATCCAGATTATCAGGGCTAAAAAATAAGTTCAAAAGAAACAACTTTTTAAAAAATCATGAAAAGTAAGTATAGGTGCAAACTTGTTGATAGTATTATTTTTTCCTTACATGTCACTGCATATAAGATACATTTAGGATAAACTATGAAACATGTTATATCCCTTATGAAACATCTAAGCTATAAATACTCCATCATCTGTGCTCTGAGCAATAATTTCACCTCATTTTGAACTATGCCAAAAATAAAATAATGTTTAAAACATGTTCAAATTCGAATGAGATTGGATACAACTGTAAATAAATTTTATGATGATGAAATACCTAATAATATGAAACTAGGAATCCTTTTTTAAAAGAAACTGATAACAATGAGAATGTTGTTAAAATGTGAAGAAGGTACCAATGCCTGTTTATCTGATTATAGCTAGAGACTGGAATGAGAGTGGGTTTGGTTGTCTGTATTTTCAGAAGGAGGGAAGGAAGGGGAAGAAGGGAAGGAAGAAGGGAAAGGAAGAGGGAAAGGAAGGAAGGAAGAAAGGAAAAAGAAAAGAGAGAAAGAAGGAAAGAAAGAAGAAATGTTGTTGTTGTTATGTGCCATCGAGTCGCTTGCGACTCATAGCGACCCTATGTACAACAGCCCTAAACTCTGCTCTGTCCTGTGCCAATCAC